ATGTAGGTTTGGGGAAAGGAAGGAAAATGTGAGTCGATTTGGCAAAAAAGAAAGGAAAAAAAAAAGAGAAGAAAAAGAATCCAGAATGAATCATCACTGTTCCTGTGCTTCATAGCCAAGTTACAGCAGATGCAGGGCAAGAGTGAACAAAGAAAGGGGAAAAAGAAGAAACCTGAGCCCTGTCTGAACTGTGTGTGAGATGGATTAAGCCCACAGACACTCAGGAGGGAAAGAAAGAGCCACCGTGTTCTTGGTATCTTGCAAGTCTATATACTGTAGTGCTGAAGTTGTAGCAGTTTAAATGTGAATCTGTTGGCCTTGGGGAAATTCTCTGAATGTATATGTTTCATTTTCACATTTAGAGTGGGAATAACCAAGTAGGAAAGAATCCCTCTTCTCCTCTGCTTACCAGGGACCACATGCTTTCCAAATACAGAAGGTGAGGAAGGAAGATCTCATTTTTCATCTATGTATCCATATACTTGGATTTAAACATTCAGCCTTGGACTTTATGTGTCAGGTGTAACTTCAGTCACTTACATGTTATCAATCACTTAATAATAATTAGCAGTTTTGAATAGTCAGATCATTATTTTCCTGTACTGTTTTATCTAATCCTTATATCGATTTTTGGAGTAAATTTTAGAGAGAAGGCAATTGAGAATTCAGAAAAGTCATTTAACTTGCCCAGAATCACAAAACTAGGAAGTGCTACAATAATAGTGTGAACACATGTTCATCTGATTCAAGGGTCATGATTTTTTTCCAGAGGGAAGAGGGTGGGATAGAAGGCCTATGTTTCCCAAACTAGCCCTGAACTTCTCGGCTCAACTTGATTCTCTTGTCCCAGCTCCCTGAGTGCTGGGATTCCTGGTGCATACCACCACATCTAGCTTGATCTTGTTTTGCTTGTCATGTCCTCATTATGACTTACTCTGTCATGTGGACTCCACTGCTTTTTCCAGGAGAACAAAAATGAGATAAAAATTCTCAAGCATCTTATCAAGAAGAGTAAACAAAATTCTGTAAGAATGTGTAGGCATTTTGTAGATGGAAGTCATTATCATGAGTTAGGCTTAATTTAGCTATAATAATTCTATAGCATGCTACCAGTCATATAACCTGTCCAAATAGTCACATAGCTGGAGAGATTCAGTAATATATAGCTGAGTAGTGGGTCCCAGGTCATGACTGCACAATGCTGATTATACATGTGATGCTCATCTGTATGGACTTTTTCATTCATGTCTTGTACATGTCTTCAATAGTGTCAGATAAGGTATACATGGTCTTGATTATAAGGGAAAGTCTAACTCTTCTACCTCAGGTCTTTGTTGTAGATGCATGAAATGAGACTTTAATCAAAGGCATTTCCCCTAAAGGAGACACCTAGAGTTAGACTTACCACACCTTCAGATTTGAATCAGATGCCATTCTCATTGGCATTCTCATGCTGTCACGCAGCATCCCTTTTCCTCATCCTTTCTTATTTCTTGAATCTAGTTTATGGATTCTAGTTAAAAACGCACACACTGTCTAGTATAAGGAAAAGAAATTACACTGTAGGTAGTGTGTTAAAGCCACAGAGACACAGGTGAGCTTCTTTGTTTCTTTCAATCACTTTCTCCCCTATCCTCATATTTACTTAAAACTAGGTCGGCCTCCCTGGTTTCCATCTTGCATACACTGGTCAACTGCTCCAACCATTTGGTCAACTGCTCTAACAGCTCCAACAGCCCTTTGATGCCCCGCCCCCGCCAGTGGGGGGGAGTGGGGGCGTGGCAGTGACATCAGTGCTGGGCGGGATTTCCTGCCTGTCTGGTTCTCACAATGTTAGACTTTATCATATGAAATTGAAGTGCAAAATGTCATCAAACATCTACTGGTGTGTGCTGCTCTTGCTTTGCCCTGTATGAGACATACCCGTTGTATGTATCAAGTCTTCCTGAGTGTGATGTGATTTCCTTCTCTTACATGCACAATCTTATTTAATCCTATGAAAACTCTATGAGATAGGTTCTATTATCATTTTTGAAATTACAGATGGCTAAGGAAACTCTCCCAGTGTACAAAGTTACTAAAGGAAATTATTGGATGTATTCGTCTCCCAAAAGATGGAAAGAAGAGACTAGGATTGAAGTAGAGATTTGAGCCATTAACTACCCATATAAACTTGGGCAAGTCACTCTAGCTGTGTTTATTCTCTGTAATTAAAAGGCCTTATTTATTTATTTATTGTGAGAATACGGTACAGAGGAGTTAAAATTACATGGGCAAGATAATGAGTACATTTCTTATCAAGCATTGTTGAAAAGGCCCTATTTAATTACAGCTCTCATTCTTTTGTGGCTTTATGTTCTATGCTTCCCCACCCCCCCCACGAAATATGTATAATTATTTGCAATTATTTGTGATTTAAATTAAACCACTTTGCTGTTTAGAAAAAAAATAAAAGATAAAAATACAAATTTATGAACTTGTTTCTGAACCAAACGGATAAATACTAGAGGTCATTTTTGAAATAACACAAAAGTCCAGTTGCTGCTCTTTGGCAAAACTGAGTGTTGCTGCCACCTCGTGATTATAAGGAGTATTGCTTTCATGCAAGGCCAGGTCCTTCTGTAGTAACCCATCAATCATCCAGTTGAACAGATAAATCAATAGGATTTTATGGGTGTATTAAATATGAGAGAGTTTGCTTCAGTGTCTTCAAGAGAACATTTTTCCCTTTGAGAGCAATGGGGTTGGGAGAAGACGTACTCTTGGCAAAGTTAAGTGGACGTTATCTGTCTTTAGCTTCCGCTGATTACAGTAAAATCCCCCAGTTAGTGGAGCTCAAGTTCATCCGGGGAACTGCCCAGGGTTGTCAGTGCATCAAGATTTATTACCATTTTATCTATCAGGAAAAATATCACCTAAGTACTGGTAGCTTACACGGATAATCCTAGGTACTCAGTCGGCTGAGATCTGAGGATTGTGATTCAAAGCCAGTCTGAGCAAGAAAGTTTATGAGATTTTTATCTCCAATTAACCACCAATTAAGCTGCAAGTGGAGCTGTGGTTCAAGTGATAGAGTGCTAGCTTTGAGCAAAAACATTCAGGGACAGTGCCTAGACCCTGAATTCAAGCCCTAGGACTAACACACACACACACACACACACACACACACACACACACACACACACACACACACACACACACACACACAGAATAACATTTTGCACAGCGGAGGATATAGCCAATAGGCTAAGAAGAAAGCTTACAGAACAGAATGTTTTTTTTGCCAGATATACATCAGATGAGGCCTAATATCTAGAATATACATAGTGCTTAGAAATTAAACCCCCAAAGAACCCACAATCTAATCAATAAATGAGCTAATAATGACTTAAAGAGAGACTTCTCGGAAGAAGTAAAAATGACCAATACAGATTTGAAGAAATGCTCATCATCTCTGGCCATAAAGGAAATGCAAATCGAAACAACACTGAGATTCCAACTCACCCATTAGAATGGATCAAGAAAATTAACAATAACAGATGTTGGTGAAGATGTGGCCATAAGGGAACCCAAATACACTGTTGGTGGGAATGTAAACTTGTTCAACCACTATGAAATGCAGTATGGGATTCCTCAAAAAATAAACATAGAACTGCCTTATGACCCAGCAATTCCACTCCTGGGCATTTATCCAAAAGATCCCAAACCAGGTTACAGTAAAGTCACCAGCACAACCATGTTCAGTGCAGCACTATTCACCATAGCCAAGATATGGAATCAGCCTAGATGCCCCTCAGTAGATGAATGGATCAAGAAAATGTGGTATATATACACAATGGAATTTTACTTATCCATTAGAAAGAACAATATTGTACCATTCATAAAGAAATGGAAAAACTTGAAAAGATTATATCAAGAGAAGTCAGGTCCAGAGGGACAAATGTTGCATGATTTCCCTTATGTGGAAGCTAAACTTAGCCTATAAACCTGTGCGTAAACACATTGGGTGGCATGCAAGTGGTTACAAATGGATTCACTCAAGTATTGGTACATTCAAGGGAGAACTCAAATAGTGTAAATCCTTGGAAAGGCAAAGTTCAAGTCTAACACCAGTAAATGGGTACTCAAAAGGGATGGGATAGGGGAGGGAAGGGATGGTAGGGGAAAAACAAAGGAGGAGATAACAATGCTCAATAAGAAACGTACTCATTACCTTACTCATGTAACTGTAACCCCTCTGCACAGTATTTTTACTATATATATTATATATAATATATATATTCATCTACATCTATCTATCTATCTATCTATCTATCTATCTATCTATCTATCTATCTATCTATCTATCTATCTATCTATCTATCTATATCTATATGGGGTGGGATACAGCCAAGGAGAGATGTGTAGATGAATGAATGGAGAATGCAGTTAAGAATTCAATGTGTACACTACAAAATTAAGAAAAAGGGAGGGGTGAGTTGGGAGGGATGGGATGGGTGAGAATGTTGAAAAAGGTTGACATTGATCAAGATACATTGTACTCATAAACTGCTTTGTTAAATGGAAACTATACACTATTATTTATATAAATAGCTGGGCACTGGTGGCTCATGCCAGTAAACCTAGTTACTCAGGATGCTGAGATGTGAGGATAGCAGTTCAAAGCCAACCTGGGCAGGAAAGTCTGTGAGACTCTTATATCCAATAAACCACCAGAAAACCAGAAGTGGCACTGTAGCTAGCTCAAGTGGTAGAGTGTTAGCCCTGAGTTGAAGAGCTGAGGGACAGTGCTCAGGCTCAGATTTCAAGCCCCACAACTGACAAAATAAAATAAAATAAAATAAAAAATTAAAAAAAAAACAGAAATGAAAGTGAAAAGCAAAGATTACTTTGGAGTTAACTTGAATCTGTTAGAGTATTCTTTTTCAGACAAAACCTTTTATTTTTTACGTGTGTCTTTAAAAAAAGTTTAACAATTGTTATTATAAAGGTGATGTATAATACTTACCTGGCAGAGGAAATACCATGATCACGGAAAGTGGTTTTCTCAGGGCGAGGTTTATCCATTGCACTCTGGATGTGCTGACACCTGCGATTTCCCCAAATGTGAGAAACTCTACTGCATAATTTATGGTAGTGGGGGACTCCGTTCACGCTCTAAAAAAATAAAAATAAAAAAGATGATGTACAGCGGTGTTACAGTTACATAAATCAGGTAAAGAGTACATTTTTTTTTGTCTGTTGTGGTGCTTGAACTCTGGGCCTGGGCGCTGTCCCTGAGCTCTTCAGCTCAAGGCTAGTGCTCTACCACTTGAGCCACAGCGCCACTTCTGATTTTCTGGTGGTGAAGTGGAGATAAGAGTCTCACGGACTTTCCTGCTTCGGCTGGCTTTGAACCGCAATCCTCAGATGTCAGCCTCCTGAGTAGCTAGGATTACAGGCGTGAGCCACTGGTGCCCGGCAAGAGTACATTTTTAATGATATTTTTTATGTTGGTCATGGGGCTTGAACTCATGGTTTGGGTGCAACAAATGCAACCGTAGTACTCACTAGACACTGTGGAAAATGAACTGTATGTCTGATGGGTGCAGAAGGGAGACAAAAACTGGGAGAAAGTAAGGTAAGGGGAGACATGGTTTAAAAGAATTGTACTGGCTAGTCATTACCTGATTCATGTAACTGTAACCTCTCTGTATATCAGCTCTACATTAACAATAATATAAAAGAGTACATTTCTTTTGGGGCAATGTCTCTCCTTCCCTCGCTCTCTCCCAGTTTTCCCTCCCATAATTTCCCATAGATCAAAAGCTATTCTTGATATTGTAACTAATAACTTACACCAATGACTCTACTCGTTAACAGCAACAACAACTCTAGTAGTCATGGCTGATTGGAGCAGCGGCATGGGTGTGCTGTGCTTTGAATTCAGTATCTCACCTAGCTGACATAGCACGCTGAGGTAATTATTTTTATGATTACTCCCATTTTAGAGTTGAGTAGACTCTACTGACTCTGAGGTTCAAAGAACAGTTGACCCAGTATCACCTGGCTCTTCCCCCTGGATCTCAGCTCATAAATCAGCTTTCCCAGATGCACTAAAACCAGGAAACAGAAGGCAAGTGCACGCCCTGGCCAAGCCACAAGCATCTCTCTATGTCTATGAGGATACTTGCCATCCCCAGAGCATGTTGTAAATGAATGCAATGACAGTGGAACATTACAGCCTCTGCTCAGGAACTGATCTATCGGCTTAGAAGGCTAGTTGCCTGTAGGGGGAGAGATTACCTCGGGAAAATGTTTTCCCTAATGCACATACACAAAAAATGTTTGCTGGTTAGAGGACGGAAAGGGTGATGGACTATAAGAAGATAGGTGACCCGTTGTTGGGAAGAATGTTTATCTGGTTTTTTTTCCAGTTCATCAGTAGAGAGGGCAATTGCTTCTCTCTATTACCATTTAAGAAATTAACTGCATAGTTATATGATCCAAATCTTTTCCTATCACAGCCAAAATGTCTTCAGTAATAAATATGCATGTACAGAATTATTCATGGAAGGAATGGACTTCCTTCTGGTGTTTGTTGTTACCTATGAGCCTCTTTCTCTCCCACTGAATCACTAATTAGCTAAAGACATTCCTTAAGTGTCTATTTGTCTATCTATCTATCTATCTATCATCATCATCATCATCTGTAACTTATCATTTTTTATATAAATAGAATATGTACTACAAAGATTTCATTCTTGTCCTTACTTCACACACATCCCCTTTTTGTTCTCTGGGCTAAGAATATAAGCTTGCACAATTCAACATTCTATATTGTTTCTCTGAAGTTTTTTTTTAAGGTAGAGAATTATGAAGGAATTTAGAATGTGTGAACAGGAAATAGTTAAACACAAGCTGAGAATGTTTTTAAGAAGAGCAAATGCATTTGAGACTAAAGGAAGTGTTGTACTCAGAGGGTCATGAAATGAGAACAAGCCTGTTTTAAGAAATAGCAAATCATGCTGGGTTGCTGGTGACTAAAGCTTGTAACCTTAGTAATTCAAGAGGCTGAGATCTAAAGATCTGAGTTTGAAGCTATCCCAGACAGAAAAGTTCATGAGACTATTATCATCAGTTAACCAGCAAAAAGCCTGAGGTGGAGTTGTGGCTCAAGTTGTAAAGTGCCAGCCTTTAGGGGAAAATAAAAGTCAAACCAGAATGTGAAGTCTTCAGTTGAAGCAGCAGCACAAGCAATAAACAAAGAAATAAAGTAATAGTGGATTCATCTTATGCCTAGACTCCATGTGCTGAGATTGGATGTGAAGTAGAATTTTTAGTCATTCTCTAAAATAAGCCTGAGCAGGGTGCCGGTGGCTCATGCCTATAATCTTAGTTACTCAGGAAACTGAGATCTGAGGATCACGGTTCAAAGCCAGCCCAGGCAGGAAAGTTCGGGAGACTCTTATCTCCAGTAAACCACTAGAAAACCGGAAGTGATGCTGTGACTCAAGTGGTAGAACACTAGCCTTGAGCTGAAGAGCGCAGAGACAGCACCTAAGCCCAGAGTTCAAGCCCCACAACAGAGAAATCAAACAAACAAATACAGCCTGAGGTGCAAGACCAAGTGTCCTTCTAGGGGTTCAGTGTAGGTCTTATTAATCTTTAGAGTCTCCCCTGTTTTCTAGTCTTGTACTTAGCATTTTAAGCATTTGGTGAGTTAAAAAGGAACTTTGTAATCAAGTGCCAGACTTTTAAAAGTAAAACACAACACACACACACACACACACACACACACACACACACACACACAGCAAAAGAAAGGAAAAACTACAGAGACTTCATTTCCTAGTGTGAAGGAAAAGATTGTAAAGACAGCGAATGTTCCATCGCATTTTATGAGTCATAACTGTGATAAAAAGCGGCACATATGGACAGTTTCTCAGTGATTTGCTACAGCTCCTCTAGAATCTAGATATAGACCTTTATTGTGGTTTGTACTCTAAAGCAATATTTTAACTTTTTAAAAAAGTCTTGCCTGGCTAGTATGTAGCTCAGTGACAAAGCGTTTGCCTAGCAAGTGCAATGTCCTTGGTTCAATCTCTAGCACCAAAAAAGAAAAGACAAAAAATAGTTTAAAAAAAACCCAAACACGGCTGGACGCTGGGGGCTCAAGCCTATAATCTTAGCTACTCAGGAGGCTGAGATCTGAGGATCATGGTTCAAAGCCAGCCTGGGCAGGAAAGTCTGAGAGACTCTTATCTCCAATAAGACACCAGAAAACTGGAAGTAGTGCTGTAGCTCAAGTAGTAGAGCACTCGCCTTGAACTCAAGCTCTACGACTGACAACAACAACAAAAAAAACCTAAACAAAAAAATCTTGCCTCTATGTGTATGCATATGTGCACAATGCATGTGTGTGTGTGTGTGTGTGTGTGTGTGTGTGTGTGTGTGTGTGTGTATGTGTGTGTGCGTGCATGTGTGCATTTAAGTCAGAAAAGCTAGTATTGAAAAAATTAGAATTAGGGCAATTCTTATGACTGGAAGTGTGTCATCATTTTCATGATGTGGTATATGACACATTCCCAAAGACACTTCCTTTCTCCCTAGCTTTCCCATGCCCTTTTGTTCAAGTACGTGGCTGCTCCCTGAAATCCTGGGGTTGCTTTCTTTAGGTAACCTCATCTGAAAACTATTTGGGAAGAAGGAGGGAGAAACTGTGAAATCTTTACTTATTTAGTTATTTTTTGTTGGTCGTGGGGCTTCAACTCTAGGCCTTGGCACTGTGCCTGAGCTCTTCACCTCAAGGCTAGCGCTCCACCACTTGAGCCACAGTGTCACTTCTGGCCTTTTCTGTGGTGCTGAGGAATTGAACCCAGGGCCTCATGCATACAAGGAAAGTACTCTACCACTGAGCCACTTTCCCAGCCCTGAAACTGTGAAATGTTACAAAGGAGAAATTTTTATGTACCAAAGATGGTGCTAACAAGCTGATGGATGAATAGAGGCCCAACATCCTCCACCATTGTACACATCTTAGAATGGCTATCACAGAAACACAAAACTGATTAGATCTAATGCTGGCAAGGTGGCAAAGTATTTAGATCTCTTCTATATTGCTAGTGAGATGAGAAACCTTCAAAAATGAGATTAAAATAATTTATCCTCTTTTCTAGAGTGAGACTTTTTTTTTGGACAAAGACAAAAAAATGGTATTTTATAACCAGATCCCAATAGGGTCAGTAGCTGAAACTAATGGTGTTAATGTGCTATGTGATGACTAAGTCAGTACAATTGAAGAATCCATATGAAAGGCAAGTTTATGATCTGGACCTGAAGTCTTATGCAAAAAGGAGTTTATTTCGTTATTAAGTACTGTTATTAAAATAATACACTTCTAGGGCTGGGAAGGTAGCTCAGCAGTAGAGCGCTTGCCTTGCATGCTTGAGGCCTTGGGTTCGATTCCTCAGCACCACATAGGCAAAAAGAAAAAAAGCCGGAAGTGGCACTGTGGCTCAAGTGGTAGAGCACTAGCCTTGAGCTGAAGAGCTGAGGGACAGCGCCCAGGCCCAGAGTTCAGGCCCCACAACTGGACCCCCCCCAAAAATAAAATAATACACTTCTGGAAAAATTTCTACCCTTGGTAGAATACCTTCTTCCAATTAAAAAATATATTTTACATTCTGAGTCCCCTACTAGTAGAGAAGAATTTGGAGAGAGAGAGAGAGAGAGAGAGAGAGAGAGAGAAACATAGACAGAGACAGAGACAGAGAGAGACAGAGAGCTTTAGGACAATGTAATGTGTCACTTTTGCAAGTGAGCCTGGTGGGAGGTCTTCCCTGAAGTTTCACAGTCTGAAGCCAAGAGCAACACCTCTGGCCGCATGGTGGCCAGTGCAATTCAGTGTGCCCACCATGCTACCCTTCAGCTTTATGTAGTTTCCCAGGATCAGTGACTCTTGAAGAACATCTCCTGATAAGGAGATGCATGTGGTCATAGGATTTACTGTACCTTTCACAATCAATATTGGTTACTTTCCATCATTAATGGCTTCTGCTTTCAGCAAGAGTAGGGCACTTCCCCAGCCTCTGTCATTTCCCCAGTAACTATAAATTACAGTCAAGGTCCCGTCTTATCTCCACCTGACTCAAATCACTCTCCTGGCTTAGGAGCTCCGGG